CCCCAAAACCCCAAAACCCCATGAAGTAAGAATACTATCGAAGTTAAGAAATAAAAGATAATTAAATTAAAAATATTCAGGTATATTTTAACATGCCCTAAATCATATTCAAACGAAGATTGAATACAAACGAAAGCAATGCTAACGGCAAGTCACCCAGTCCTATTAAATGATCTTTCAATATGGGATCAGACGGCTAATAGAATCAATAGCAATAAACTTTTCTTTAAAGCAACTCAGCATCGAGAGCTTCCTCGTTGAATAATAGCTCAAGTAAGAAAATAAACCGAAGCAAAACTTCAATTGGCATGAGTACGAGCAAACTATAGCAGAAAATGTCTTATTAAAAGCTAGTTTTAGAGAGTAAAAACAATAAAATGAGAGAGTTCCAGCTTTATAAGGAAAATAATGCTAATGTAGACACCAGATAAAACTCAACTCATTATGATGGCTAAAACTACATTGAAAATTACAATAATTCGTAAATGATTGCGTTTGCAGACTAATCGATAATAATGAATCAGAATAATCAGCAATTTATGAATGATAGTATAGCAAAGAACAATCTCAACAATCCTATTGAAAATTTTAGAAATGCCCAAAATAGCTCTTTACTTGTTCCCTCATAGAATCAATTGGTGAAGCAAAACTAAATACTCATGGAATAATAGTTGATGAGTCTGGTCCTTTACGATCCTCAAAGAATGTTTATTGGCGAGCAAAATGCAAGAGTTCAGGAAATATTGAAAGATGGTAAGACTGGCTTATCCCTAAGCAACATGCGCAGAAGTAGATTTAATACATCTGCAATAGGAAATAGACAGTAAGCTCATTTCAATCAAAGTGTGATTTCAAGTTAATCCCCTCACTCTCAACTACCAAACCTAGAAATTTCAGGGCACATGCAACAATTCAAAAATAGCTTGAAACCTTTTTATAAACAGACTAAGATTATACCTGAGCATATGGTAGATGATTAATTCAATAATAAGGAGTGCTATGTTTTATAGCATCCAAGAAGTTAGCAGCAGTAAAGGAGGAAAATTACAACAGCTGCTCATTCTGCTTTGTCAAATACAAGTCATGCTTAATTCAGAACAGGAGGCATGACAGGAGATACAAGGAAATTAGAAGACCCAGTAATTGATTATAATAGTAGCGCTGGCAATCCTTTGAGCTCGCTGGCTTTCCTATAAAACTAAAATCTCCTTCAAAATCAGTAAATGTAAAAATAAAGATTATAATTCCCATTATAGATAAACGAACTAGGATATTATGATGCTTCAAAGAAAATTTGAGGACAATGAATCTAATATAATTCATGAATTATATAGCAAGCATTTCCAGCATAAAAATAACGTTTAAAAAGCACTCGGGGAAAGGCTAGATTCAACTATATAGCAGGATAGGCAAGGAGATATGATTATCTCTGCAATAAAAGAAAAACAAGATGAATCCTCTAAAAGCAGATAAGTTATGTAGAACTATCTCACAAACCCAAATGAAAGTATAAGTATGACAGATAATGTATCTTAGCCAAATGATATGAGGGGTTAGGATTTCGACAAGATTAAATATGTTTAGTATGTGCCTAAATTCTTAAGAGGAAGTAACGAGACTATCATTAACAAGATGTATATGGGTAGCCCTGTTCACAACATGACTATTGGTTCAACAGATGATTAATAAAACCATGAAATGTTTAAAGGAGAGATAAGATGCCATACTCATCATCTGCATAATCGTAGATGTGAGAAATTCAAGGTAATGGATGTAGCTGAAATCTAGAACTAAGCCTTTAAAAACCTGAAAGTTGAGAATAAATAAATATTTGACGAGAGAAACGGTTCACGCAGCTACAAAGCATCATTCTTTCCATCGAGTATTATTCCTGAGGAGCTTGTAGATATTGTAAAGGAAACTCAAGATTTTTAAAAGACCATGCTTATTAATGAAAAAATGCTTTTGTCAAGGCCAAAATCTAATAATAAGATCAAATCAAGGTTCTTTTCAAATGAAAATAAAGGCTAAATAGTATAAAAGGACATTGAAGTTACTTCAGACTATAGAAATAGTCTTATTCAGTAGAGAAGATAATAGCTGATCTAGAAAGTAAACTTGAGCAAGGACTTTAGAACTGATAATCAGATTTAGAATTTTACATAGGAAGATAGTCAAATTTTAGATCCTATTCATGCCTTTTAGCAGTAGGATTATCTTCTTCAAAATAATTTACTTATCAACTCTGACATAAATCAGTTAGCCTAGCATCAATAATAACAGAATTCAAACCGTAATTATTACTATCCCAAGGTCTCGATCCTTAATCATTTTAACGCATTCTCTCATGATTCTAAATATCCCTCGAACTAGCTATAACAAGCTATATAAAGCTGGGATTTTTCCTAGACGCCTATCTCAAACCACAATTTAAAGATCAATATTGAGAAGGAATGTGTAAAATATCATCATAATCACGTGACAACTTAAAAGAATCTTATACTATCGTCGAAGACTTAATCTGAGGATGGCAATGTTAATAATTAGGAAGATTAAGCTGAGAGACATCAAATTAAGTTAGCTAATCCTGATAATTTGACATAAAACATTTTCAGACCGAGAGGAATGATTAGCAGTCTGGGTTCAAGCAAGTAACTCTCTCCAGTAGCAGGACATGCTCCTTAGTATGATCAATCATCCTTGCAAAATAGAACTCAGTCAAGAAAGACTGAAAGAGGTCAGAGATTCTTTAACTTCAACGAGGTAAACAGTCTTTAAGATAAGAAATGGCAGTCACCCTACATTCACCAAAAGAAATGCGATCTGATAAAGAAGATCAATCTAAAGCAGAATGAACTTAAGAACTTTGAGAAGTCTAATAAGGTTTAAAATGCCTAAAACCTAAATTCATCAGTAAATAATCCTTATAATTTGTGGAATCGTAATCGAAATAAAAGTAACCTTTAAACAAGGAAAAGATAAAGTCTCTAAATGAGTGTAATAGAAGGCTCCTTAAGAGATAAGAACACGATGCAGCAAACAAAAGTTAATAGAACCGCTGGGGGGAATTCGGGTAACAGTGGTACTAAGAATTAAAAGGGAAAAAATCTGGTGAACCAGCCCAGCTCACTGATGGCTTTTAAACTTAAAAGATATCAAAGACCTAACACTTAACAGATTCACAGAGCAGAGAAGCAAATCAGCCAAAAAGCAGTTAATACAATAGAGTATGGAATAGATTAGAACTTAGGCAGTATGGGTGGAGTAACAACCTAGAAAGACACTACCTTCTAGATGGACAACAAGAACGGGGATCATAGATTGGAAACTGACTCTTTAAGTATGAGCAGTGGAAACATAAATGTCACAGTCAATCAACAGCAGTAAAGCTTGAAGTAAATTCGCAAGAGCGAGGGCAATAAACGCTTGATTATTAGCAAGAGGAGCGGTGATTTCTTTGGTAAAAAGTAAAGCAGATAGCAGCTGGCTGGCAATGACGCCTTAATTGGGGGAAACTCAAGCACTGTGATAAATCAGAGTGGGGTTATAAGTCTGACACAGGAATGACTAAAATCATTCCTAACTATTGACTTTGATAATTGAAAAATTAAATTAAAATTTAAAGGAATAATGATTAATCTAATTGACTAAAGAGAAATTAAGAAGTTTATTATATTTTACTACGTCTTCATATTTCATTGTTAATTGTGGAAATTTCTTTTAAATATTCCTAAGACAAGAGTGATGTCATCTACTTCAGGTGTGACTTTCTTGGCAGCAGGTGTCTATGGCTAGCCCTCATCAACCCACATTTAATGCGCATTCTTTACAATTTAGTTTACGTAGTCTTTGCATCCTATCTCAGATTACTTCGACTGTGGTTCTTACTCGCCAGCACCTTCAATCTAAATCTTATGCATCATATCAGAAAAGTCTTTGGATTCTATCACATCCCAAATACCATCTGAGGCCAAAGCTATGGCATAGGGTTGCTAATCTGGACTGTACTCGTAAATTTGTACTTCAGGTTCAGCTATCACTCCAAGGTTCTTAGCCATTTGATCTCCTATTGACCTGGACATAGCTAGACCAGGCATGTCTAAGTCTTTAGCCCAGACTCTGTATGGCTGTTCATTTAGATCAGTATGACCTCTATATAAAGGGTTAAGTTCTCCCTGTCGACGGACTCTTCCTCTATACTGATGCTCAATTCTCTGTTTTTCATCGGGCCTGTTTGGCTTGTGATCGGATGTCTAAATTGCTATTGACCCATCAATGTTTATCACTATGCATCGAGAATCTCCACAATTGCCTGTGATTATAAATTACGGACTAACAATAGCGACAACTAGAGTACTCCCACTCATTTAAATATCAAATGACTTTTGACTTTCAATTTACTTGTTCACATTGTTAAACACCTTGGAAAGAAGCTGCTTTACCAGTGTCTAGAACACTTGCCTATCTTCCTCAGCCAGTCCAAATATGCTGGAAAGCAATTTTTCAGAAAATCTCTACTAAACTAATCTCTTATCTTCGAATTCCACAACCTAAGCCAGTATCTTCTTAATATGCTTAGACACCAAGTGTCCATTAATCCCATGCCCGTCTGCTACTGCTATCAAGTACAAATTATCTATGCCGCATAGCTTCTTTCTGATAACCAATCTGTCTTAATTTACTTTGTTAATTATTGAGGATTAACCCTTCTATGAGGCATAGGCAAGGCTTAATAAGTTTTTAGCGCTCTACTTTTCTGATTCTTCAGGCTAAGGAGATTTGGCTTCAGATTCTGATTGTACCTAGGACTCCTTTTTGGGTTTTTGCTTAGCTTTTTTAATATCCAATGATGGGAGAAGTTGCTTGCTCGACTTTGATAGGGATAACTAGAAATTATTATTATTATTGCCATAATTACTATTAATATTATTAATGTTTTAGATGTTACTGGGAGTTTCTTTATTCTTTTTCTCATTGAGATTTTCTAAGTCTTTTTTTATCTCAACTTTAAGGATATTACTAGAGTCTTAAATAATTTTGAGATCTTTAATTTTTATTTTACGCTCTAGGTCGAACGGTCTACGCTTCAGGATACTTTAAGACTTGCGCTATTCTTAAGCCAGCTCAGGGAAGTAAATTGAATTCGTCTAAGGGGTCTTAATGTTAAGGGTTTATAGCTGCTTTGACACAGCTAGTGTATGTGAGTAGTTTATAGGGTCATTTGCAGGGATACCTATCTGCAGTTTATCAGTATTGCTCTTTTTTGCTTCTACGGAACTTACATGCAATTTATTGTGGTTTTCTTATTGGATGTGAGATGGACTAAGGACATTATGAAAGTACATACCGTTATTTTTATACTAATTAGATGCCTGTTTGTTAATAAACTTAAGTGCTTTGCTCTCTTGATTCTTGATTAATGTTTCAGGGTTTATAGTTTTTACTGCACTATTTGCATTAACATTTTAACTAAAGTTCAAATTTTCACTGCTATTTGAATACGGAGTCTTGTCTGACTATTTCTCTAATTAATTTTATCTGCCTTTGTGATTCGAATCACTCAGCAGAGATTTATCTATTGGCTTCAAGTATTAATTGTTGGGGTTTTTTTCTACGACTGGCTTGGGATTGAGTAATTTCAAACCATAGGGAGAGTTTTGCAATAATATGTTACTCGATTAACTTTTCTACATATTTCTAGAGTTTTAAGATTACTTATATAAAATATTCTAATAATAATAATTATTGCTCTCAATTATAATATTAAATTAAATAGGTCTTGATAGAAGATGTTTAGCAAGTCAAATGATTTCTATACCACTGGAACAACTGCTGAAGACCAGATGAAGATCAATGTTTGCAGACGTGAAAACGAAACCAGACATAACATGGTTCTTTACAAGGATGCAGCAAAGAGAGTGGTCTTCTAAAACTGTATGACTCAATGCGAAATCGAGCCAGCAACTATTCCTAACTTTAACAAAAATTTCTACTATAACCAAGCTAGTGAGCAATAATGCCTTCAAAATTGCTACAATAACAGAATGAATTTGCATTTCGGAAAATTAGCTGAGTCAGAAAACATGCTGATCGATTTTGAGGCCATGAAGGCATAGTATCATAGATATGAAAACTGGAACCCACACAACAGAGATATTAAGAGATTCAGCAAAACTAATACCACTGAAGAGGCCCATAGTATCACTCAAAGACTTATTGAGAAATCAAATGCCGCTAGATACGGGAAATTCGATTTCTGAAGAGTGCGTACTAATATTGTAGCATCTCTTATGCCTATAAATTAGGAGAGTGTGCCTATCCAGAGGCCAAACTCTCTTGATTTTTATTTAAAGTTTACAATTAATCTCAACTGAATTTTTATCCTTCACCCCATTTCTGAATTTTAATTTTCTTGCTTTCCAAATTATTATCAGAATGGATCGATAGGGGTTTTGGGGTTTTGGGG